CAAAATTCACCCAAAATCCCCCCAAAATCTCACCCTGACGTTGTGCATGCTGATGACGTTCCCACAATCATCCAGGTACTGCTTGAGGTCCCGATCCTGGGGAAAAAAAAACAACCGGAAAATCCCAAATTGGGGAAGTTTTGGGGGATTTTGGGGTCCCCGGAGGGAATTTTTGGGGTAAATTTTGGGGTCCTGGGGGATTTTGAGAATCCCCAAGAGGGAATTTTTGGGCTCCTGGAGTGAATTTTGGGGTGAATTTGGGATTAATTTTGGGGTGTTTTTGCGGTGGTTTTGGGATGAATTTTGGGGTGTTTTGGGGACGATTTTGGGATGAGTTTTGGGGTGATTTTGGGGATGTTTGGATGTTTTTGGGGTGGTTTTGGGGTGTTTTGGGATGATTTGGGGGGGGTTTTGGGGATGTTTGGGGATTTTTTTGGGTGTTTTTGCGGTGTTTTTGTGATTTTTTGGCGTGATTTTGGGGTGTTTTCGTGATGTTTTTGGGGTGTTTTGAGGTGTTTTGGGGTGTTTTTGGGGATGCTTGGATGTTTCTGGGGTGTTTTTGGGGTGTTTCTGGGTGTTTTTGGGTGATTTTGGGATGACTTTGGGGTGTTTTTGTGATGTTTTTGGGGTGATTTTGGGGTGTTTTTGGGATGAATTCTGGGGTGTTTTTGGGTGTTTTTAGGGTGTTTTTGGGGTGTTTTTGGGATGATTTTGGGATGAACTTTGGGGTGGTTTGGGGTGGTTTTGGGTGTTTCTAGGATGTTTTTGGGTGTTTTTGGGGTGTTTTTAGGGTGTTTTTGGGGCGTTTATGGGTGCTTTTGGGTGATTTTGGGATGAATTTTGAGGTGTTTTGGGGTGACTTTGGGGTGACTTTGGGGTGTTTTTGTGATGTTTTTAGGGTGTTTTTGGGGTGTTTTCAGGTGTTTTTGGGGTGTTTTTGGGTGTTTTGAGGGTGTTTTTCGGGTGTTTTCGGGTGTTTTTGGGGTGTTTTTGGGTGTTTTTCGGGTGTTTTCGGGTGTTTTGGGGGTGTTTTCGGGGTGTTTTCGGGTGTTTTTGGGGCGCTCACCAGGTACTCGAAGACGAGCGTCAGGCACTGCGGGGTGTGCACGATGTCGTGCAGCGTCACCACGTTGGCGTGCTTCAGGTCCCGCAGCAGGGACACTGCGGGGACAGCGCGGTGACATTGGGGACATTGGGGACATCGGGGTTAAGTGGCCTCAGCCGTGGTGGGAGCCACACCCAAACCTCCCTGACCCCCTCCCCAACACAGTCCCCAGTGTCCCCAATGTGTCCCCAGTGATGTCCCCAATGTCCCCAGCGATGTCCCCAGTGTCCCCAGTGTCCCCACCCTCGCGGATGGCCGTGCAGGGTCCCCAGTGATGTCCCCAGTGTGTCCCCAGTGGTGTCCCCAGTGATGTCCCCAGTGTGTCCCCAGTGGTGTCCCCAGTGATGTCCCCAGTGTGTCCCCAGTGGTGTCCCCAGTGACGTCCCCAGTGTCCCCAGTGTCCCCACCCTCGCGGATGGCCGTGCAGGGTCCCCAGTGATGTTCCCAATGTTCCCAGTGATGTCCCCAGTGGTGTCCCCAACGTCCCCAGTGATGTCCCCAACGTCCCCAGTGATGTCCCCAATGTCCCCAGTGATGTCCCCAGTGTCCCCAACGTCCCCAGTGATGTCCCCAGCAATGTCCCCAATGTCCCCAGTGTCCCCACCCTCGCGGATGGCC